GTGGTAAACATCGAACCTCCCAGCATTTGGGGGGGCATCATACAGAAGGAGGAGGGGACGGGAGCCGCGAAAGGGGGATTGCCTAGGAGCACTGGACGCGTAACGGACCAATTGTTCCCCAGGGATGCCAGTACCGGGGCGGCTGGTTGGTGGAAAGTTTATGGTCAGACAATGTGAGCTTTAAATTGAACAGAGTTCGACTGATATTGCGTGCCCTCAGGGTTAGCTTGGTTGAATCGTTGGTAATGTGATGGTCATGGCCTCCCGAACACGTATAGCTGAAGGGACTTATGGGAGTGGGGTGGGGGGTTGATCACATCACGGTACGGCAGTCGATTGCAATAGAATTGACTTTCGGGGAGCGTCTACCAAAAAGCCACGAGAATTGGTGCTGCCATGGAACATTTCTGCCTATTCTGCCCATGATTGGCGGGAAAGTTCAGAGTTTCGGGCCCATCCTCAACTGTTTTGCTGCCCTCCAAACTTCCTCAAGATGGCCTAGTCATGTTAGCGCTGGCCCGTCACGCGTGCAGAATGTGCAGAATATTGCCAGAACCGGGTCCCCGTCGACGAGCTAATTTGAGTCTTGACCATGAAATGTCGAGCATCCAACACCTTCGGCTGCTCGCGCCTTTTCGCTTGACGGCGCGACGTAACTGATGCAGGTGTTTAACTCACTTTGACTTGGCAGATTTTCTCCTTCCCCCCTCTCACGATCCTGAAAGGGAATTAGAGTTTGCGCCTTTCTTCGTGTTGACCATGTTGGATGGCGGATGAAACACAAGTCATCTGAACGGCAGCTAGGGAGTTGACAGTCCTTGAATTTGCACCAGTCAAAACTCTGAATCTTCAATTTCAACGTCGCATCATGTTTGGTTTTTCCGTCCGACTTGCCGGCTCTCTTTCTACATGGCACCCTCAAGTCTCAGCCGCATATCATCATTCAATAGCAAACATGACATCGACATGACTCTTGAATAGCCGGCAAGCGGCACAAGTCTCTAGAGGCAAGACAACGTCCATCTAGATGCTTCAGCGGCTCCATCCTAATGATGGGTTGATGGGGCGCGCGTCCTATCTAGCTGGAATCGTTTACCCCAAAAATAATATGGAACTCGGCACTGACATGTATGCAGGTGGGTGAAGAAAGATAGGACCAACATACGAACAGAGTGCGATAAACTGGGGCGCGAGCGCCCAAATGCTCTTTATTTCCGACTCAATGCGACGCATCAGTTGTCTCTTGTTTCAACGGGCCTTTTTACATCAGAAAACTGGAAATCTCTGTCAATTTCGTACTACACCTCTCCTTTTTTAACTTTGAGAATTTTATAACGGACCGAAAAGTGACGATCACAGATTGGCAGAAAAGGTTGCAACGTGGAAGTTCCAACAACACTACAACCAATTCATCGCAGAACTGCAGAAAGAAGAATTAAGGGGCCCAGAACTTCGCCTCTCATTGCGGAGCCCGGCGAGAAATGGGCATGATGGCAAATGGGATTATGGGACCACACGGATGATACAGCACACGTGCACTCATGGGAGACCGGATGATGGGTACTGCGGAATCCGGTATCCGATTGAGTTAGTACGGGACCCGTTTGCCTATTTCCTAATCTCTTGCAATATTCAATGTGCCCCCTGTTCAAGCAACTACATGCAGACTAGCCTGCTGAGAACCTCTAGACTCTCAGCGGTCTAGATCGTCGGGCCCAATTCAACTTCCAAGCAAGTAGCTCCTTTTCTGGTGCGAAGTGCAGCCAGCGCACTTTCCGTCATGAGTCGATGCCTCAGAGACATGAAGCCATCGTATCTACGAAAGGAAGGAGCTTCGGAACTGCCGGTACTATTGAAGCTGTCTTGTCCTTCTTAGACACAATGTCTCGGTACTCGACCGGTAGATGTCAGCAACTTTCTTTTGCAGAAGACTTGCTCCGTACATACGCGGAGAAGTGAAAGGCGATGGAAACCTCTGGTGGATCACAACTCCAATGAGCAAGGGATAATGCCGAGGACCACAACGCCTTGCCCACGGGGGGCTTGACAACAAACGGGTTGACAAGGGTACTCTAGCCGTCAGTATTTCGCCGACGGACTTAGTAGAGACCTGACTGATGGATGGATGGATCCCACAACAGCTGATTTCTGATTCATTACAGGACGTAAACAGATGGAGCGTATGCACTCGACAATTTCCCCGTGGGTTAGACCGTTAGAAGCGGTGTAATTATCACGGGGAGCGGGTTCCAATTGTCCGCCGAAGCTCTCAATCTCTCTTTGGGAATGATTGCTCTCCGAGCAATAGCACTTACTAACCCTCTATTTACAGAATCTCGTATTTACTCTCTCAACCAAAGTTCCCAAACCAAATGTCATCACTAGGCCGAACCCCTTTCTCGACCCCAGGCAACCCGCAGAGCCTTACTTCCTCTTCGCTCGCCACCTTCCACTCTTTGGCCGTCTCGACTCTCGCTGCAATCATCATTACCATGCCCGCCTCTGCGTGCCATGCGTTGTGGCAGTGGAACGCCCACACGCCCGGATTGTCCAGCAAGACTCTGACGACTGCCCACCCGTAGCCTTGGACTGTTACGGTGTCCCTTCTGAGCGGGTTCTCCAGAACACCCGAAGCCGCGAGTTCTGCTTCCAACTCGGCCATGTCTTCGGGTGGGTAGCCCGTTGGAGACTGCTTCAGTACGAAGAACTTGTGCCCATGGATATGGAACGGGTGTGCGCCGTCGTCAAAGTTGCTGATGATGATGTTGACCGTTTGGATGCCTTGCGTCTGGTACACGAACTCATTCTCTGGATTGAAGGTAATGTCGTTTACGCCGGTTGTAGACGGCAACAACGTGTCATTGTCGCTTTTCGCGGCGTCCATGAAGCGATACAGAGCCGGCGAGGTGGCGTTGGCGTGCCACGTCGAGGCGTTGAAGAAGCCCCGCGATAGACGCCATGCTCCTATTTCGAAGTTGGCGCGGAGGTACATTGTGGCTGTGACATTGGGTGCTGGAATTGCATCGACAGGTTTGAGTAAAGTTGTGTTCATGTCTCGACAGTCGACATCTATAGCTTCGTCCCAGCTCTTGCTTTGTGGTTCGCTGAGCTCCGATGCCGATTCATACGTCTTTTCTTTGCTAGAGAGTCCTGGTGTGGCATACCGGATGATCCCCTTCACTTCTGAATCGAGCCAGGGATTTTCTCGTGCGAAGCAGTGCGTGGTCATCCTAGCTCGCAACCAGAACGAGTCGGCAGTGGTGAGATTGGTCTCAATAATCACACTGTAGCGCTGTGCCGGAAGGATATTGAGGCGGTGGAAGGGTTCAGGGCGTACATCAGTCCCATCAACCTCGGTGATGTAGAGCGGATGCTCGTCGATTTCGATCTGAAATTCGGCAAAGGCACCAGTATTTATGAACCTCAGGCGATGTCGCTCATTTGGAGCCAGGCTAAAGGTTTCCAACGAGGATACACGAGATTTCTCGTTCTGGCAACTCCATCCGTCGAAGTCGGCACAATCGCGATAGTTGCGCCCGTTGATGAGGCCACTCGACGGCACAGGCTCTTCATTCTCCTGGTCTGATTGAAGATAGTCCATCAACAACTCGGCCGATGTGTTGTGATAGTGGTCTGAGATCATGATAACCCGATCAGTCGAGTACTGATCTCTCGTTCCCTGGTTGTTTCTCGGGTGGATGACGAGAGGCCCGACGAGTCCATCAGAAGCTTGGTTGCTGTGATGTGCGTGGTGCCAATACGTTCCTGACTGGTTCTCGACCGTGAACCTGTACGTGAACGTCGCGTTGGGTGCAATAGGGCACTGCGTCACGCCGACGGTGCCGTCCATGGAGTTCGTGCCGTTTTGATACATGCCGTGAAAATGAATGGCTGTGGCATTGACGGCTTCGTTGCGGACGTGGACAACAATGGTGTCTCCCTCGTTGCACTCAATGAGAGGTCCGGGAAACTGGTTGTTGATGAGCATCATCGGCCGAAAGATCCCATCAGGGTTGAAGATCGCATCGCTGATGGTCCAATAGTACTCTCTGATGCTTGGCACGGCGTTGAAGTCCCACGAAGAGCCCAAAACATATTCCGACGAGTCCCTCAATTGTGGCGACGATGGTATCGGTTCTTTGACCACATAGACCGCCGTTTGAGAACGATGCGGTGCAGCCGCAGGGTAAAGCAGATCTGATGCATAAAAAATGAAGAAGAATATGAAAACGCCAAAGAAACCTGTAGAGACTCGACTCAGTAAAGCGCCCTCTGATTGACTCCTCAGCAGTTGCGGTGTCTCATCATCATCTTGGGGGGGAAGAAATGGCGATTTCTCGCCGTTGTCCTCCGTAGCTGAACTGTAAGACGAAGATTCCAGATGGTCCAAGTTGAAATCGGTGGAGATCGTTAGAGATGGACTCAAAAGCCTCTTTTGATCGCTTCCTCGCTCAACGTCGTCCATGGCGTGAATCTCATTGCGTCTTGACGAATGGACGGAATAACGCAACGCAAAGAAGAGATTCAAATTCAGACAAGAGGTTGAAAATGCGAACAAAATGCCGCTCACGAGCCGAACTGCCGTTCAAGGCAGGTAAGTTTTTGGAAAATGGGGTGGCGTAGCATTCTGTTTTGTTTCTGCCCGCTCGTTGCCGCCCTCTCGGGAAGCCGGCATGCCTGTCCTCTTACACGTGCGTTGGAAATGGCCCAATCAGACCTCACACTTTGACAACCTGCGTCTGCAATTGGAGTTCGGACGGTCCAAGTCGACTGAGGGGAAATGGATTCAATGCCATCCACTAGATCGAAAAGTACTGACAGGCTCCTTTTTTCGTCCCATCCATCTGTTCGTTTAATGGATCGACGAGCGTTCCCGTGCGCAGGGGTGGCGATGCTGTCAGCCTGTCAGGGATGTGACCTTCCCCATTCCTCGTCTCGATACTACAGAGTCACCGACACGGAGGTGCCCGACAGCAAATCATAGAGAATATGAATAATCAAGGAGTCCCGGCCTTGAGGCTCTTGGTTTACTTTGTGCTCGCCACGTCGTTCTTTCAACCACTCGTTTGAAGGCCTTTTCAGCTTCATCATCTTCCACGATGCATTACGCAGTTGCCGCAGCTATCTTCGCGGCCGGCGCCCATGCTGCTGCCGTAGCGCCTCTCTGTGCTCGAGCGACCTCTTCAAGCTCTTCTGGAGGTTGGGAGACTCGGTACACTGCCACCGGCACCGCTGCTGTCGCTGCTGCTGCTGCCACAGCCAAGACTAGCAGCCCAACCAGCAACGTCAAAGGCAAGGCTTTCGACCGCTTTGTCATTATCTGGAATGAGAATACCGATTACGATAAGGCTATCGGTGATCGTTAGTGCTTCCTTGAGCCCTTGATCCCCTCAGAATCTGACCTGTCGCAGCCAACTTTGCTTGGCTTGCCAAGAAGGGCATCACGCTGTCCAACAACTTTGCCGTCACTCATCCTTCTGAGCCCAACTACTTTGCATCGGTTTCTGGAGATTATCTGGGCATGAATAACGATAACTTCAATCGCGCCGATCGCAATGTTTCTACTGTGTTTGATCTCCTGGACACACAAGGAATCTCATGGGCGGCCTACCAGGAAGACATGCCGTTCTCAGGTTTCGAAGGCATGGCATGGGTGAACCAACAAAACGGAGCTAACGATTATGTCCGCAAACATGACCCGCCAATCTTCTTTGACAGCGTCACTAGTTCGGAGCAGCGCCTGTCCCAGGTCAAGAACCTGTCCATGGTCTACCCGGAGCGATCACAGTTCCACAAAGACCTCAAGGCCAATAAACTACCCCAATGGTTATTTTGCACGCCGAACATGACTTCGGACGGTCACGATGCGTCTGTCACTACTGCAGGTGCTTGGAACAGGAAGTTCCTTGAGCCACTGCTGGAGGATAAGAACTTCATGAACAACACATTGGTTTTGGTCACTTGGGACGAGAATGAGACGTACACGCAAAAGAACCGCATTCTTGGCATTCTTTTAGGAGACTCAATCCCTAAAGAGCTCGTTGGCACTACGGACTCAAACTTCTATAACCATTATTCTGAGCTTGCTACAGTTGAGGCCAACTGGGACCTCCCGACCCTCGGAAGGTGGGATGTCGGCGCCAACGTCTACAAGTTTGTCGCAGACAAGACCAAGAGCGTCATTCGTCAGTGGAGCAACACCTCGACAGTGCCCGACCGCTACTTCAACCAGTCGTATGCTGGTTTCTTCAACAGCAAAACCGCGAAGCAGTACCCAAAGCCCAACTTGGCTCTGGACGAGAATGCAGCCGGCAGGAAGATTCTCGAGTCCATCAAGGCGACCTGGAAAGACAGCAAAGCTCCTACGTACTACGAGGATACTGTTCAGGTTTCGGACGGACTTAACCCGCCTCCTGGCTACAAGGCATAAAGTCTCGGGACAAAGCACCTAGTAGATACTAGCATTGTAATGATAAATTTATTATTACGACTTTGAATGAATATCCTCTAAGTAATTAAGTTATAATACAATTAGAGTCTAGATATTTAGGTCTTATAGGATATACTTCTAATAAGAAGCCTTGTTAAAGCCTGTTCTTTTTTATAACCTTACTAGATTTCTTTACTAGTTTTCTTTAGCACTTTTTTTTTCTCACTTTTTATTATTATCTCTATTACAATCGTCTAAAGTATACGTCCTCGAATATGCGTACATGTATCCAAGATGATAGACTATAGAGACGCCAGAGGTACCTAGAGCGACAGAAGTAACAGTCGCGACAGTGATAGAGATAATAAGAACAACACCGCTCAGAGAGAGGGCAACGGGAATGGCATCGGACTTGGCCGAGCAAAACCAACCACTCAGTATCTAAAATACGTCACCCGGATGGTACACGGCATGCAGAATCAGCCCTCGTGATGTCGACGAGTCGTTCCACAAGGATGTTCATTGACAACGGCCCGAGCAGGGGAAATGTCGAGTGGAGAAGAGATCGTCAACGGCTATCCCTGCATTAGGAGCCCAAAATGTCCTTCCTGGTCGGGAAGGTGAGAAATTCGTCTCGATTCATTGGCCCAAGATTGAGGGGTTATATTCTCCGGACTCCACACACGTGGTCGCTCTTGGCATCGCCTCTGGGCGAAAGCTTGTGTCTTGACAGATGTTTCTTGCTCCCCCACACCCCTCTTCGACTTCGATGCCGACTATTTCTCCACTAAGGGAAACATTTGGGTATCACGGCATCTCTCAGCCGACTTTTTGGTTGTGTTGTGGCTATGCTGTATCGTCCACTAAGAAGCGCAGAAACTGCGCGTGGACAGAACCGTTGATGAATGGGAGACTGAGCCATGCGTGAGGGGCAAAATGCAGCCCGTCCTTTGCCGGTGTATCATTCCCAGGATTCTGCTCCCGTTTCTCTACAGCTTGAGCCTTCTGGATTGGAACCTCCAAACTCTGTGTTTCGATCGCCGGAGTTCAATGCGAAGTTGCCCCAAATCTCATTTGTTTCACTCAAATCAACAACCCAGTTCACCATTCCTGGCAGCCTTGATTCAGCCCGACAAGCCCCTTTCAAAGTGTTGGGTGGTGAACCCCTCGCTCAAATAAACTCCCCAACTCGCAGAACACATACATCGCCTCCACAATGGTCTCTCCCAAGCTTTCTCGTTTCCTCTCAGACTTCACACTCGGCTTCTCAGATGGCCTTACAGTACCATTCGCCTTGACCGCCGGTCTCAGCTCCCTTGGCCGCAGCGAGACGGTCATCTACGCCGGTCTCGCGGAGATATGCGCGGGATGCATCAGCATGGGAATTGGTGGCTATTTGGCAGCGCGGGACTCTTCACATAATGACTCGTCAACGGTGCAGCCATCACCGGTAGATGAAGAAGAACAGGGCATGCTGTCGTCGGCAGGAAGACCCAGCGAGGACGAAATCGATGACGAGAAGAGCCTGACAGGCGGAGCGATAGACGGAGAGGAAACAGTGCTCCGATATCTCCAGCCACTGGGCTTACCTGAGACAACCGTCGCGATGGTGATTGGGGCCGTGAGGTCTCGGCCGGGAGGGTTAAGCTGGGCTTCGGAGAGAATCAATGGCACCCAAGCTAGCCGACTCCACGCTCTTGTTGGAATTGACAACGTCGACAAGAGCCATCTGCTGATATCGCCAATCTTTTCGGGCCTGTCAATCGCTATCGGATATCTTTGTGGTGGGATGATGCCCCTGTTGCCGTACTTCTTCGCCTCGAGCGTCGGTCACGGGCTTCTGTGGAGCATCATCGTCTGTCTCATTGCTTTGTTCATCTTTGGAGCCGGAAAGAGCTGGTTATTGAGCGATAAGAAGACATCACGGACACGATGTCTATGGGAAGGACTTCAGATGACGTTGTTCGGATGTTGCGCCGCGGGGGCTGCGGTGTTATGTGTACGGTTGGTTGACCAGAAGTGGACGTGAGGTGGCATATCGATAGAAGAGAGTTGCACGTTGATATGATCACATTCTTCAGCAATGAGGTGATCGAGCATGTGTCGCAAAAACGACGCAGTTAATTGCAGGCGGCAATCAACGCCACATATACCCTACTACAGCATGCAAAAGCCCGTTAAAAATACTGATTAGAAGTTCTGGCTATGCCTTGCCCTGATATCATTGCTGAATACTACGATTAGAGCTGCTGCGCAATCCGAGGCAGAGGACCGTCTGGATTTGTTAATGACCAAGTGAAGGTGATTAGTGAACACGAATCGAAGGAGTGGCGGGGCTGACGGATGCGGCGTGGGTTGATCACTAATCTTTAGTGATGGGCGATGCCTTGATACAGCTTGAAAATGCTCACAGCTTACGCTTCCAACTTCCAAGCGATCCTGATAAACTTGGGATCATCCGCTTTGAGATATTCTGAGAAAGCTCGGAGTCTCAGCCAAGAAGGCCCCTTATTTGATAAGACAAGGTGAACGAAAGAACAGGTGCTGTAGCGTAGGACGAAGTCAGTTCCTCAGCATCCCACGAGGAATATCTTAGAAAGAGGCAGCTATCAATACATTAGACACGAGTAATTCTGAGACCCAGTGATTTACGTCGAATATCAAAGATTCAGCATCCATGATCGAATTGAATTCATTAAATCGGATGAAGATTTTTTGAGGTACGGGAATGCAATTCCAAAATATACGCTCAAGTTTTGAATCTTGGAACAGGCGCCAGTGATGCTTTTGTACTCGTCCGAACGTCCTCATGTTCCATTCTCCATCTAGGCTACCTAAATTGGATGAATCGTGCTATGGTGACAATGCTTGCCATGAACGACATGAAGTAACCTAGATCCTTTTAAGGGTGAGCCAATAAACTTGTCGTCTTACTTGTGAGAAGCTCGCTAAGGGAAACTTTATGATCTTGACTGGCTCAGATGATCTTATCAGAATGGCAAAGCCCGTAACGCTCCGGAACAGACCGCGAGACTTTCAGACGAGTATCAATAATAAGTAATTGAACAGAGCCTTGATATAGTCTCATGCTTTGTAATGATGCAGGTGAGCGCTGAGCCCGCATATTTGGCGGCGCGCACTACTAATCCCAATCCCATTCTTAGCTCGTAGCCATGTTTCTGGATTAGTGAACAGTACACACGCCCAGACTTTTGATACTGCGACAGGAACTCTGCCGTTCCCAAAACTGCAGTCCATCCGAACCACGATTATCAATCTGTTCAGACGCTATGCTCGGCCCCGGAACTGAATGGCGAACCCTGGGAGTGGTGTTCTGCAACACTTCGATTCCCTTCGAAGATAGGCTACTCCGCAAGGCGTGCGAGCATGAGATGTGATGCTGCATTTGTCAGTCCATCAGAAACTATGAACGTGTCAACTCGAACGATGAATCTACACAAGTTATTTAAGATGTCTTCTTTGGCCTCGTTCTGCTATTTGAGTGAATCCTCATCATATTCCACCTTCCACAACCTCCATCTCAACATCGACTAACTCAATAACAATCACAACCCTTCAACTTCATAACCTCAACTTCCAAAATGTCTTCCGGACTCACTTATCTCATCACCGGTGCCAACCGTGGAATCGGAAAGGGCTTCACCACCCTCCTCCTCCAGCGCCCCTCAACAACAATCATCGTCGGTGTCCGCGACCCAGCCGCCGCAGCCTCCAAGGCCCTCTACGACCTCCCTAAGGCCGACGCCGTCTGCGCTGTACGTCGCGTTGGGTGCCGAGAAGTTACCAATGGCGCCTTGGACGGTATCGCACATTTCGTAGAAGGCAGAGTATCCCGAGTACAGCTGGATGGACTGCCAGTAGCCAAGGGGTCCGACGAGAGCCCTATAGACATCACAGATGTGAGAATCGGATCCAAAGTCTCCATTACAACCAAGGCTTCAACTTACGAGGCAAAGTCCTCCTTGTGAGCAAGGTCCTGGAGGCCAAACTTCTTCTTCAGGGAGTAGATCTCATCATCACTGCCGGTGAGCAAGACGTTGTCCACGTGGTCGACGATCCGCTCAAAGTCGCGACTGCAGTTCTTAGGCATGCCGTTCTGGATGGGGAGGAAGTAGCTCCAGTAGTCGTAGGTCGCTTCGACAGGGCCACTGCTGGAGTGGTAGGCCCAGAAGGTTCCCGGAGCGAGCTTTGCGATGGCTGCGGCCAGGACGCCGGAGTATGATCCGCCGGTGTACACCCAGGGCTACGGGTCGTCAGTTTTGTCGGTCTACTTGACAAAGGCCTGGGCTCGATACTCACTGCTTGGGGGGCGTTGCTGCTGCCGTTCTTGTCGAAAGGCAGTTGGACGTTGCGGGCAAGGTTGGCAAAGTCGAGGACAGCATTCGTCATGGTATGCTGCTGGAGGTTCTTGGTGTCTTGGACCGCGTACGGCAGGGAGGTTCCCCAGTTACGGTCTGCGCAGCATTAGTCTTCTTGGCTCTGCTCCAGTGTCTGTGGCAAGTTCCATACGCTCAACCATAACGACGGCACCGCCGATTGCCTTGGCAATGGCTCCTGTGATGGCCCGATCCGTGAGGTATCCGGTGTAGGGGGCAGCCTCTGATTCTCCAGGCGTGAAGAACACCACCTACAATTCATGTCAGTGAGATGGTCACAGCATCAGGCGAGACAAGTCGTACCGGAGAACCAGGTCCCTCCCAGTACGTGGAGTTCCACCAGTATCTCTGCTGGAAGGTCCCGAGAGATGGGTCATTGTGGTCAATGAGCTGCTCAAAGAAACCGGCTTCTCTCTTGGAGAGGACTCCTTCCTCTTCATCTTCAGCCCTCAGAGGAGGCTGGATGGGTTGGAAGGCGAAATGGGCCTGGGCCACCGCGAGGCAGCTGAGCAAGGCGAGTGAGACCTTCATGGTGACGTAGAGCCGAGGATCTTCAGAACACAGAACGACTGGCTTGGCACGCTCGTCAACCAAGAAGGAATTCCAGCTCCATGATCACGGCCGCGGGGGAGCTGCATCTTTTAAGAGAAGCGTTGTACATGGGTCCAGGGCGCAGACCCCGTATCTCATGGTAATACGAAGCGATGATCGGGTCCGCTTAAGCAGCATGCCATGCAACAGCGCATGCCTTGACATTGTCGACATTCACAGTATTGCAACAGTGAACAGGAACAAGCTTTCCAAGTGTTGGCGGGAGAGGTACTAGCCCCGGTGCGACCCCGGCATCGCACGGGGCCCAAGGGCCAAATGCGACGAGGTCTCCATAATGAGACCGGGGGGTTGTAGGCGGGTTGACAACGGCTTTACGGTCTCTGATAGGCATTTGCAGGTGATGAGAAGTTCGTTGCGTGGGCCGACAGGTTAGCCGGAAGCGGAAGGTGAGCGTTGGGAGATGGCGATGGCCCCAGGTCGGGTGGCACGCCTCGGCACTCCGGCAGGAACTATTGTCTCCGGTCCAAGGGCCGACCTGCGACAATGGGAAGGTGTTTTGGGGTTCTGGATGAATTCATAGGAGTTGGTTTTGCGTGATCGGCTCTTGTGCAGAAAAGTCTCGGATGGTGAGCCTCTCAGCTCGGCTTAAGAGGCAAACATCTTTCCCGTGGAAACGTCGAGACGTTCTGCCATTGAGAAGTATGTACTTGGGGGGAAGAAATACCGCACAGAGCTCATCGATAATGAGTTGAAATGGTTAGATAGACTGAAGGCCGCTGCCGACGATCGACTCAGGGAATGTTACGTTGCTGCAGGCGGGCTTGAAGGGTTGCGCTCACCACCACCCCACGGATGATTTTACTTGGGTACCTCGCCATTCACCACACAACTTATCAGTGAATCAGGGATTTGTAGATAACCAGATAAAGAGACTATCGCGTTCGGGAAGTGGGTATGCTATGTTATGTGGTTGGTTGCGTACAGACTGAGTACTGTAGGTACATGAAGAGTGCGTACAAGTCGTCGAGTTAAGGGTGTAAGCAGCTACAACTTAGAGCTTGTAAAGGCGCCCGGCAATGTAAAACCCGGTGTAAAGTACTCTGTAGTGCAGTATGTAGTGTAATAAAGTTCAAGTTGGTAGAGACATGGAAGAGGACTGAAAAGGAGGCTTCCTGGCTCTGGAGCGACCGTGCTGGTGGTGAACCCACCCAACCAATCAAATGCCCCAAAAGGTAATCAACCGCTTTTAGCCTCACAAACCAGGCCATCAGGGAATTCACTGTCGGAAGCTCCACAATCCAATCCAAAGCTCCGACGACATTTCAAGATCCAGAATCCCAATTGACCATCGACGATAGCCTCATTCGCCCATTACAGACCCCAATCGTCGTCACAATGGCCGGAGACTCAGCACCAAGGGGTCCGTCTCCCCATAATATCACCCCCATGCTATCCACCCACCCGCAATGGCTGACATTCCTCTCCAGAAGCGACCCGCGAGGAGATGCGGGAGGCGAAGCTCCCCCTCCCGTACCGCGACAGCTGCGCCGGTCTCCTCATCCCCCTCAACCGCTGCCGTGTCGACACTTGGTACCTTCCGTGGAAGTGCAATGTTAGTCTTTCTCGCCCCTACCATCCGCCCCTATCCGGCCTCCCTCTCGACCTCTCAATCGACCCGTCCGATGAATCCGAGAACACAGTTTGTCGCTAACCTAGAATCCAATCGAAACAGGACGAGCGCCACAGCTACGAGAAGTGTCAATACGACGAGTTCAAGAAGCGTGTCGCCAAGATGAACGAGCTCCGCGCGGAGAAGGGAACGAGAAGCAACTAGAGTGGTAGCAACGGGACGAGACGAACGAAACGAGCCTGGGACGGCGAGCGTCTGTGTACATAACCTGTTATTTGAGGATCAAGGGGCCAGAAAAGGGCAGCATGGGATTGATCTTGCCGCGAGGGTCATAGATCGAGCCGAATTGACGTCTTTTTGCGATTCCATTATGGCCCGATGATGAGGAAAGTTTGTTGCGGTACGAGGGCTCGACATGGCGAAAAGCGCTACATCTGCGAGGAGGACGCATCACGAGAAGTCAAGTGTCTTGAAGTGTGGAAGTGGAAGGGACCATTTGCGTCATGCGCCCTGGCAGTAGGAGAATGACATGACAGAGTGACAGACGAATATTCCACGAGGGCTCGTGGGCAGGGGTTACTCTGAAGACAAAGCTAAGCAACTGGCCATTCAAACTTAGATTGCCAGTCGGAAAGAAACGACAGGGTGGTAGAACTAAGCCTTTCGATTTGACTGCGCTAAATTCCAAGACTCTACAGTGGCCCAGGCCGATGCATCAAGATGCCTTCACCCGATCCAGAAAGTCCAGCAGTCGCTTCTTAAGCACAACGCCCAGGACCTTCGATGTCTCCGGCTCAAGGATGATGATGTACCTAGGGCCCAACTTCCCGAACATCTCCAAAACGTGCTCCATCGGAGCCTCGGCGCAGACTGTGAGCGGCGTTCGGTCAACCAACTCAGTCATGACGCCAGTCCGCAAATCAAGTTCCTCCGCTTCGCCGCCAGTCAGCACCGCATATTCTACTTCTGCCTCGGGCAGATAGCCAAACAGCAGTCCAGCGTCACTGACGAGAACGAGGCCCGCATCCATGAGTCCCCTGGCCTTCAGCTTCCGCAGCTTCTCCGCCAGCACATCCCTACGGACGCGGTACTCGCTGCCCACCCACAGAGTGATCTCCTCCATTGTCCCGGCCGGAGGAACCAGCTCACGGGCGGTGGCTTCTCGCTTCCGCACCACCTCGTGAGCTTGCTCCGCATCAAGAAAGGGGTGGCCTAGCAGGTGTTGCGAGAGATCGTACACTGATTCCCCCGAGATCGCGTCCGCCACCCATTTGGCGGTCAGGATGGCACACATAAAGGCTGGCACGTACGTCACCTCGCCAGTCAGCTCAAACATGATAACAGCCAAGCTCACAGTCATCCTGCTCACGCCCGCGAGGAAGGCCGCCGCGCCGACCATTGCGAAAATACCGGGTGAGATCCCACCAACGAACTGACCCACCAATCGTCCAAAAAGAGCGCCGCCGTCGAGAGCGGGGATGATGATGCCAGAGGGGACTTTACATCCAAAGGTGATGATAGTCAGGAGCAACTTGATGACCGTGCTGCTTGCAAGCTGCAGCATGTACAATCTCTTGTCGTTGCTTCCCTCCTGCTGACATATCCAGTTACCGTCTGGCTCCTTACAGTCAACTAGTAGCCTCGAGAGTGCCACGTCGCCCGTGTCGCGGATGAGCACGTTTGGGTACTGCAGCAGAGCGGTGGCCAATACGACACAACATAGCTCGAGCACGGGATGCTTCTTGACGATGTCGTATCTGCGGAAACGTTTGGACCAAAGAAAGTTGGCCTTGCAGAATACTCCGCCGAACACGCCGCCAACGACACCCAGCAACACAAACACCAAGTAGTGCACCGGGTCATAGTCGACCCCGTAGCTCGTCTCGAAGAGCACCAGCTTCCCGGTTCCCGTGGGATTCAGCGCTTTGAGAGCAATGGCCGCGATGAGCGAACACAGGAACGCGCGCCACAATACGCGTCGTGGAAAATACGTGCTGATTTCCTAATTAATGGGTTTCGTCAACATCATCAATCCAGTCCGATTGGAACCACGAGACCAGACACATCAAAACAATCAACAACATACCTCGTAGCTGAACAGCACACCGCCAATCGGCGCACCAAAAGCGACGGATAGGCCAGAAGAGCATGCCACGCTCAGCATCTCCCGCATCTTGCGCGGGTTGTCCCTGTACTTGGGGAACCGGTTGGCCACCAGCCACCCGACGCACGTCGAGATGTGGACAAAGGGACCCTCTTTGCCCAGACACATACCCGTCGACACGGCAAAGGTTGCGCCCACGGCTTTCACGACCAGGACCTTGAAGTCTAGGAAGTGAGGGATCACGAAGCCCGATAGGATCGTCTTGATCTCGGGGATCCCGCTGCCGGCGGCCATGTACATCGTCTTGCCCTCCGTCATGGCACCTGCTGTGACGGCAGTATCGGCGTCGACGGCTGGCAGGGAGGCTTTGGTGGTCATGGTGACGTTTCCCGCGACGATACCGAAGAGGAGGGCAAACAAGACGTAGACAGCATAGCTGGCGACGTAGCCCCCTCCATCGCCCTCACCAACCCAGTGGTTCCAAGCATCGCAAGTCCCCGTCTCCGACACCCCCCAACAACACTGCCCACGGTCCAGGAAAACATTCGTTCTGCAGTACCCCTCCTTCCAATCGCTCACCGTCGCCACGGAGACGTCGACGACAAAGGCAACGAGGGCAGTGAGCGCGCCGATGACCGCGGCGGCGATCCAACCCTGGCACTGGTCGAACCAGCGCGCTGCGGTGCCGCGGATACCTGAGCGTGCGCGGAGGCGACGGGCGCGGGAGGAGTCCTTTGTCAAATCGCGGAGCCAGTCGATGGTGGTGTAGTCGTTGTAGGGCAGGCGGTCGCCTAGAGGGGGCGATTGGCCTAGGGCTTGGTCTGCTTTGGAGAGTGAGGGTTGGTGCGATGGTGTTGAGCTGGACTGTCTGGTTTGGGATGTTGGGAGGAGGGGGCTATTCTCGTTGGTTTCACCGTCGTCTGAGGCCATTTTCTCATTAGTGTTGTGTCTTATCTATCTGCGGTGAGAATGTTTGTCAAGAGCACCGGCAGGAGGGCGAGAAGTCATCGATATTCCAACATTTGGAAACTAAGGTCTAAGGGGGCAGAGGTACTCTAGATATGAATACTTCTACAAACGCCATTTCTATCCATATCTCAACTCTCCCAATAGATTCAGTGAACATCGTCCCAATCCTGCAGCCCGCGGAGAAACAGATCGGCGCGAACGCACATGGTCGAAAGTCTGGAGATAAGATTGGGCCGTAGATAAGGTCGTTGGTCTGGCCTCATTAGCCCGCCCGTT